TTATCTCTCAATACAAATATTAAGCTACGCTTCATAGGCTAATACATTGTAAACTTGGTAAACATTTTATAATACAGTCTGTATTTGAATTGAGAGATGAGTCACTTCGAGTCCGTGAGACTCATATCTTTTAAGCATTTTAAAAAATTTTAAACATAATTAACATAATTATATAATAAAATTTTTTATTACAATTATTAGATATAATATTTAATGTTTTATAGTATATTTCAATGTAAACTTAATATCAAATATATAGAATAATTTGCGGGTTTACATAAAATAGTCATTAATCTGCATAGAAAGTACAGTCCATAAACTAATATGATTATGATTAAATTTTAGTATACAATTTTTAAAAATACTGTATTAATCATTAATTTAAACTTCAGGGAAACTTTGCAAAACATCTACCAGTGGTAACGCAAACGATTTGGGCCTACGTTGAGATTTTAACTTTTTTGGTGGTTTCTCTACACACATAAATTACCAAGGTAAAGTTAGTCAGCATAACAGGTACAATAAGTGCATATAGTATAACATTATATAGGGGAGTATAGAAATGTTGTTTCTGGCTATAATTTAAATATCTCTGGAATGGCTTAATATTTAGAAAATATTAAGCCATTCCAGAGATATTTAAATTATAGCCAGAAACAACATTTCTATACTCCCCTATATAAGATAATGTACCAAGACTATCGCATTTGTCTGAGCCCTCGGTATAATCGCCGCAAAACACGTCCACAACATTGCCAGTAATGGATCGAAATAGGTTTAACATACTGTCCAATGCCGTTGGCGTACATTTGGGGACACCCTGTAGTGCGCCCGTCACGCACCAAATACTTTCGTATAGCGAACTATAATTGATTTCATAACATATTATCTAGATAAATTATTTTTGTTGTAATTTTTTAAACATAAACGTGGACTTACCAACATAACCAAGGTATTTTCATTTTATCATTGTTCGAGATTTGTATGCCTAGTATTTTATCAATCGTTTGTGTGTAACACTTATTTATCTAGTACATTATTTATTAATTAAAATGTTTTATCAAATTTTAATATAAGGTCATGATTTACCTTGCTAATCCCTGAGTTACCGCAAGCACCGGCTTTAAGTAGGTTGTCCAATTGTTTGCTATCCTTTTTGCAAAATTGTTTCATCGTACTTTTACCTGTATACAATAATATGCCAGCTACTTGTTTGGGCATATTTTCCATACACTTATTTCTATACTTTTCGATGTCCGAGATTAATTTTTCATTTTGACTAGAATTATTGAGCATGCAACGATTAAATTAAACTAGTTGTGAATAATTTTAATAGTTATTCAAATTTAATTATCAATTATAAATAGCTTTGTGTAATATAGTATTAACATTGTTATGTATACAAAATTAGCATACAGTATGTTAGGATTACAAATAAAATTATTGGATCATTTAATTGAACAAGGTATAATTTTTTAATACAAATATTTACGTTAAATGAATATACTGTACATTAATCACTCACTTGCAAAACTTTCTCAACTCCGGACCTCGACTTTCCGGGAAACGGCGCCCGGAGTTGCCAATGGCTATGAGTTTAGCCACATTTGCGTCAAACTTTTGG